AGGCTAATAAAGAATGTGTTGCACCGGTATCATATAACAAATTCTTTACCGTTCAAAGAAATACTTATCAGAGTTGGGTACGATTCCAACGTAGTTAATATTATATTGTAGGACCATACCGAATTATGCCTGTTGATCGATGCGTCAGTTATCAGATGGTACATTTTGTATAATCAAAGATATGTAATACAAACGAGAAGTTAGTATTTCTATCACTTTCTTAAAAGCAGAATCCATTTCATCTGACCATACAAACTTTTTCATTTTCTTTAATAATTTGGCCTGATAGACTAAATAATTCCGTTCTATTTGGAATAAATCTTTTGATAGAAATTCAATTTTCAATGAATCTTCGTAAACTTTTAGGAATTATTTGCTTTTCACTTAGTTATTATGGATTGGAGTGTTACTATATAATGGCTCTATTTGGTTATTGACTGATTTTATGTCCCCAAATAGTTTATTTCTGTAGCAACAAATTTACATTTGAGAATTTCAGAATAATATTTTCTCCTCTAAAGACTGAAGTATTTCTTAAGATGTTATGTTCTTTCAGATCTTTCGAGAACACAACTATATCATCAATGTAATTATGAGCAAACTTAGTCAATCCATATGCCTTTAAAATTTTATAAATTATTCGTTGAAAAAATAGCTCTTTGAGGGTTCCATTCATGGTCCGGTTTTATAGCGATACTTCTATTGCCATTTGAATATGATGAAATCCTGCAGATATATCAAATGTTGTAAAAATTGTTGCATCAAATATTTGTTTTCAATGTCTTGAATCAGAGGCATCGGATACTGATTCAGTTATTGTTACTTCATTAAGTTTTCTATAATCAACACAGAGTCTTGTTTTCTTCCATCATCTTTTTATCAGCCAAAACTATTGGAAAGAATAATTTGATACTGATGGCTTCTGAATCAATTTCTTTTGTAATAATTCTTGAATTTGTTTTGTCCAATTAGTTGTTGATCGTGTGGTGATGTGTACGGTATGGTTTTAAATTAATAGGTACATTATTTTCAAATTTATGTAACAATAATCTTCTTTGATTGTCCGATTTCTCTATATCTATTGTAAATACATCAGAATACTTTTCTAATATTTTTGTATTGAGGTTGTTGACTATTTTATTTTCTCTTTTTGAATGACATTCATTGATGGAATTTCTTCTTCATCAATATTTTCTTCTATTTTGATTGGAATTATTTTATCTTCCAAATGTGAAACATTTGCCATAAGGAAATCTTATAATTTTTGAATTTGTCTATTAAGTCCCAATTCCAATTATTGTTGTTTAATTTTAGAGATTACATAAAATGTATGATCTTCTTCAATTTCCCCAATAATGCTGATATTAGCTTTCCAGTAATTTTTGAATATGTAACTGCTTGTTTGACTACTGATGAATATGGTTCAATTGGAATATTTAAATATTTGCATTGTTCTGAATTAAGAAGAATGAGAGGCTCCCGGATCATAAAGTGCAAATTCTTGATGACCATTCAATCTTACCAAAATCTTCGTTGGGCCGACCTCATTTTCTTTATATGATTTGAATTTATGAGCCGGATATTTTCTTTATTTTCACAAATGGATATTATGATTTCCTTTACAGAGTCTACATGTGAATGTTAACAGGCAATCATTTAAAATATATGAAACGAAGAAAAACATCACTTATCTTTTGACTATTGAAAGAGAATTTTCGTTTTCTTTAACACTGGTTTATCGCATTTTAATTGGTATATGATCTTGATGACAAAAGAAACATTTTTCTTATTTCATTTTGATTTCTATTTTTGAAAAGTATTTTTATCCTTGAATCTTATTTGTAGAATTTTTTGTTGTATGTAATTTGTGGTATAGAAGATGAAGGATTATTTTAATGCTTAATGGTTTATTAGGTGATTCATCAAATGTAACTTTAGGTTGTGTATATTGTTGACGTTGTTTGGATGTGGAGCTGACCATGGTTAGTAAATCTTGTTGATTGATTTCATTGAATCGATTAGGATTCATATTTCGTGAAAAAGGGTTTGAGGAAGATGATGATTGTGGTTGTCAGAATGTTTACATCTTTGATTACTTCTTATTGACATATAATTTGTTTTAGATATTATAGTTTGTTGTTTTCATTCTGATCCAATGTACATAGACAAATTAGTGTGTGTGTGTGTGTGTGTGTGTGGGTGGATTGGTTTGTTGTGTTTTATATGTGAATGATGATTTCTCATCATATACAACTATATATATATTGTATGATATTCAATGGTAGATGATTTTTTTTCCTTTCATATCATTTTAATGTCAATGTTTTCATTGTTGTTGTTGTTGTTGTTATTGTTATTGTTATCGTTGTTGTTATTTGCCGAATCCAATTGGGAATTCAATATAAAAGAGAATGTGATGATAAGAATATTGAGAAAAAAGTTTTATTGTTTTCATCATCATCATCATTGTTCAACAACAGCGACAACATTGTCATCGATTTGTTTTTAGCCGGCATTATATGATATATAACATTTATTTTTCTGGTTTCTCTCTCTCTATCGTTCATCATCAACTTTATTGTCTTTATTTTTATTTGATAAATGGAAAAAAAACATATGAAAATTTGTTCTAGCCAGACCTTTGGAGAGCTATCGATAGATGGTATCGATACGACAAAAACATAATGATATTGACTTGCTGAACTGGCTGACTGACTGACTGACTGACTGACTTACTGAATGATGATGATGATGGTTTTCTTTTTCAACACACACGCAGAAAAAAAAGTTGTTATTGAAATAAACAAATTATTATTGGATCAATGAACAAAAAAAAACTTCTACTACTACTTGTATTTGCACCAAACTGAATGAATGAATGAATGAATGAAGCCGAAACACGGAAACAGACAAACAAACAAACAAACAAAAAAAGATTATGGAAAACAGAAGAAAAGGAAAAAAAATATTATAAGGGACTTATAATGTCAATAGGCCAACATCATCATCATCATCATCATCATCATCATAACCAAAGACATCAACAACAACATCATCAAGAATCTAAAGAATCAACTTATTCGAGACCACCACCACCACCACCGCCATCACCATAATTATACTACAGATTTTTATTTCTGTGAATGAAAATAAGTATAATGAAATAGGAAAAAAAACAAGATCCAACAAGAATCAAAGAAAAAAGAAGAAAAAAAAATAGAAATCGGTCCGTTTGTTCTCGACATCTTTCACATTTCGTTCAATAATGTTGATGATGATGGTGGTGGTGGTGGTTTTTTTCATTTTTATTCAGTAAAGATCAAATCGTACGTCGTCGTGGTCGAGGTTGTCGTTTTTTTTTTTGTCAGCGATTCATACCAATACCCTGTGTATATACACAGTCACAAACACACATACACACACCCGCAACTGTATTCAATGCGCATCTACGAAAAAAAACCGTTTTTTTTGCATCAATTTTTTTTTTTCTTCTTATCCACACTATCTCAACTGTCTGGTTATACACACAGCAGCAGTATTAGTATAGAATTCGAATAGAAATCAACTTGGTCAATAGCAGAATAAAAGAAAAGAAAAGAAAAGAAAGGAAAAAAATTCGTTTATTTTTTTTTCTTTCTTTTTTTTCCACCAAACGAAAGAAAATTTTTTTTTTTTTTTAGTTGATTGTTCCATTACTATACATTATTTCATTTTGTACATTTCCATTTCTGGAATCAAGAATGATCCAACAGTGTGTGTGTTTGTGTGTGTGATTCACCAAAAAAAAAAAAAAAAACACACACACACACAGACATTGCACACTACAACACATTACACACATCAGACATATATTACTACTTTATATAATGATTTGATTCTTGGTTTGTTGTTGTTGTTGTTGTTGTCGTTACTACTGAAAACAAAACAAAATCATCTGATGATGATGATGATGATGTATATGAACACACACACATTAACCAAAGATTCAAGTAAACCTAAACAATAATAACATTGAATCATCCATCCATCCATCCATTTATAAGCCATCTACATTTTCAACTTAATAAATTTTCAACCAACCAACCAACCAACCAACCAACCAACCAACCGACCGACCGACCGACTATCCATCCATTGTTTTTTTCTTGTTGTTGTTGTTGTTGTCTTTTATATTCTTTATTCTTCGACATTATTATAACACATCTATGTCTATCCGTCCATCACAAATCATCATGTTTTCATTGAAGAATCTTATTCATCATCATCAACATCAACATCATCATCATCGTCATCGTCATCATCATCATCATTATTATCATCATAATCATTGTTTATCGACGTTGTTATTATTGTTGTTAATGTTATATTGTTTTTCAATGATATAACTAAAAAAAAAATTAGGTTTCAAATTCATTTCCATCCTTTATTTAATTATAAATTCTTCAATCATCATTGTTGTGATGTATTTGTTTGTTTGTTTGTTTTTTTGAAATAATCTGTGATTAAATTATTATCAAATCACCACCATCAATATCGACGATTGAATCAAGAGAAAAAAAAAGTTTTTTTTTCTTTTAAAACAAATGTCGATACGACTTTTTTTCACTTAATTCTGATATTATTTGAACGAGAAAAAAAACCAAAATTCAAGAATAACCAGAATAATAATGGAAGACAATAACGAAAATAAAATTGTTTCATCCACATCAAATGATGGAAACATTGATGATGATCAAAAACAAGAAAAAAAAGAAGAAGAACAATCAAAACCACAATCATTATCATTATCATCATCATCATCATCATCATTGTCGTTGTCGTCATTATCATTAACAATGACCAAAGATGAAGAATTGACTTTTATAAAACAACCATTGGATGAAGATAATGATGGTAATAATGATGATATTGTTGCTCAAACACCATCAACGACGACGACGACAACGACGACAACGGCAAAGACAAATTTGGAGAAAAATTTAAAACAAACAACAACAAAATCAATAAAATCTAAATTATTAAACACTGCCAAAATGAAACGGAAACCATTTATATCGACAACAAAAATAACAAAAACAAGACATACATCGATTGAAAATGTAACGGCCACTATGATTGGCAGTAGTGGTGGAAGTGGTGGACAACAATTTACACCACAAAGACAGCAACCACCATCCATTCTAATACATCCGGCAAATTCACCCGAAGAATATCATTATCAACATGAACTAAATCCATTGAATTTACAACAACAACAACAACAATCATCAAAGGTGACCATTGATGTTGGTCGTAGACGTGCCTCTGTCACTAGTACTCAGATGACAACTGATATTGCTACTGTTAGTAGTATACCTGATACTAGTCGACAAACAACAACAACAACAACAGACAACATTATCATTAAATCCATCAGCAGCAAGACGTAGAAAATCCTGGGATCAAAAAGTTACCGGTCCCATTAGACGTGCTAGTCAGGCCTTAATAAATTTATCCGGTGTATTATATACCGGTAGTGATAATGTTTCTTCACTAAGTACGACCATTTTTGGTCATAATTATTATGGACAATGTAGTCGTCGTGATTCTCGTTCACGAACACAAGAGATAATATTAATGTGTTCTTCATTTCAGCGACTTCCAATGAAAGATTTTGGTGCCGAAGTACGAGCTTCAATGGATGTTGATCAATTTTTACAACAAGCAGTATTATTATTGGATATAACAGAAACATCATTAGAAGGAATTGTTGATCGTATGTTACGAAAGGTGAGTTAAATTATAGTGAAAATTAAAAAAGAAAAAAAGTTCAATTTAAAATTCTCTAAAACTTTTCATTTTTTTCCCCACCCAAAAAAAAACAAGGTTATCGATGGCCGTGAACCATTGACAACACTTAAAGAAGCAAAAACAGCATTGTTCACACACGATTCTGGTGAATGTAAGTGATGAATTTATCTATTTTTTTCACTCATAAAAAAAATTAAACAAACAAAACAATTTCGATTATATTACAAAAACAAAAACATTATTGCGTGTTTTCAATGCATTAAGATTTGATGACGAATATCAATATACTAATAATCAATGGTCAATAATCATCAATAATTATTATCTCCTTGTGAGTTGATGATGATTATTTATTGATTATCAATTCATTTCCAATCAATGATAATGATGCTTAAAATGTCTGATAATTATGTGGTCTCTGATGATGATGATGATGATAATCAACTTTTTTTTCCTGTACACTAAAACAAACAATTCATGTGACCACAACAGAATATTACGTTGGATTCTGTGTTTTTTTTTTTTTCGTTGCACCGAACAAACATTAGTATCACACATAATGACCACTTTATTACAATCAAAAAACAAGCACATGTAGCGAATAAATCAATGGAAAATCAATCATAGAAAAACATTCAATTATTCAAAATTGTAATTCATATGTGTGTGTGTGTTTTCAACAAATTGATAAATTTAAATTGAATTTTTTTCCATTTTTTTGAAATGCTTTCACACACACACACCCAATGATCAAATTCAATTTTCGATTTGTCAAATCATATGATTGTCCATGTCATCCATGTTTTGGATTCTTTTTCTTTTTCTTACACATTGTCATTGCGTTGAAAATCGTTTTATTTTATTTTTTTTTTTTCATTCACCAAATACCGAATTTTATGTATGAATAAATTCATCACATTGATGCAATGACAAAAAATTTTTTTGAAAATTGGAGAAGAAAAAAAACCTAGAATTTTTTTTTCTTGCAATTCAATTCAATTCAATTTGAATGAATAAATGTTTGATCCGATTGAAATGGTGGATAACCAAGAAAATAAAAGAATAACCGCATCAATATTTTCAATATTATTATCACATAGTGCAAGATGCACACACACACACACGCCCAGAAAAACACCCAATATCCAAAATATATCTATCAACATCACGTTTTCTTTTCTTTTTTGTTCAGTTTTTTTTGCACAGCCTTTTTATCTTTATTATCTGTATTATTATTATTCAGCCAAGAATTTGATTGATTCATTCATCATTCATTTTATATTCGTTTCCTTTTTTTTTTTGGTTGTTAGTGAGTAGTGTATTTATATTCAATTTTAGGAATAAAAATATTTTTTTTTATTCCCTGTTCCATGTAATATTTATTTGGATACAAAATGTCAATGTGTGTGTGTGTGTGCAGAACAACATTTACATTACATTATGGCCGGTATCCAATGAAATGTTTCATTTTGTTTTTTTTCATCAAGAAAAAAAAGAGAAAATTCCTGCTGGATTTGATGCTAATATTCTTCATCCTTTATTGTGGATTTTTTTTCGTCTTTTTTCTCATGACAAAATAAAATACTAATTTAGGATGCTGTTGTTTTTTTTCTCATTTCATTCGATACAATTTTGTGAATCAAATGCAATATAATAATGTTGTGAAAAAGGGTGGGGAAAAAAAACACCAAAAGTAAGATAGAGTTTTTTTTCATTTTCCATTTTATCGATTCTTTACATTTGCATGATTCAATTCGATTCTATATCTATATATATGTAGAATCGAATCATGGAAATGACTACGACGACGACGACGACGACAAATTTTATTTTTCATTTCATTTTATTTTATTTTTTTTTTTTTGATTTTGATTTTGATTTTCACTAATCATATTAAAATGCAATTATGATTCCCACATTTTGATGACGTCTGTCGTTCATTTATTATTACAATTGGCAACAGAATTCCGTTAGAATTCATTTAATAGTAGTAGTAGGGGTAGTAGTAGTCGTCACGGTAATCTTGATTCTTGATTCATTGGATTTCATGCTTTTTTTTTGTTAAAAAAAATTGAATTTTTTTTTCCTTCGTTTGTCACCCATCTAATTTAATTCTGTTCCTGTTGTGTGTTCCTGTTGTTGAATTTTCATTTCTTCTCGAAAATATTTGAATTTTTTTTTCTCTTCATCGTTTTACAAGTCCGCATTTTTTTTTTCCTCTGGTGACATTTTTTTCATTATTTGTTTTTTTCCTCTTTCAATGACAATAATGAACATCAACTCTTTCTCTCTTTTTTTTGCTCTCGTTGTCAAGTCATTTCTGGCAAACAAACAGACCAATGAACAAAACAATAATCATTTTGACAAACAGAGAACAAAAAAAAAATTATTGAAAAAAAAGAATAATGTATGAACAAAAAAAATATTGCAAGAATTTGCAATATTTGCAATATTTTTTTCATGAATTTTTTCAAATTTCGTTTACTATACGGATAATAACAACAACAACGACAATGCGTCGTCAACATTCCTTTCTCTGGGTCACACACACACACACACACACACACACATACTTTAAAGTTTCAATTTACAATTTTTCTTTTCTCCATCACCGTACTAAACTAAACTCTATTTTTCTGCACACTTTCGATGAGAAAAAAGAAAGAAAGAAAAAAGAAAAACCGATACTCAACATCAATTTCAAATCAATCAATCTATCACTGTTTGTAATGTATGCATGTGTTCAATCAATATACTTCAATATTCAAAGAATTTTCTTATAAACATCATGATAAAAACTTTATACTCGAATGTGAATAGTTGCAAATGAATGATGGCTGCCTATATCGAATAATAATAATAATAATAGATAATAGTTAATGTTTCGAAAAAAAAAAATTGACAAACAAAAAAAAACTTTCAACGACAAACAAGATTATTGCGTTTCAACAAAAAAAAAAAAAATTCAAATCAAAATAAATAAATGAATAATTAATTAACTGAATAACTAACTAACTAACTAACTGTTTCACCCTCTGTCCCTCTCTCTCTTTTTTTCTTACATTTAAAGTGCAATTACTTGCCCGTACAATTCAAGGAACATACATCAGTGATGGTGGTGGTTTCGATTACGATCAATCATGGCTATGTTCAATGTAAGTAAAAAATTTTTTTGGTTGAATTTTGAATAACTTTCAAATGAATTTTTCTCTCTTTTTGTTTGTTTGTCTTGAACATAAAAACAAACAAACAAATGATGTTATCTGTGGCTTTTTTTTTTGCTCATTGTCATCAGTATATATGTGTGTTAAGAATATTCTTATCCGCATACAAATTTTCTATTGTTCACAAATATATGTGTGTGTGTGTCGTGTCATGTATTTTTTTTTCTCTTGTTGTTGTTGTTGTTGTTGTTTTGTACACTACACTAATCTAATTGTGTGTTTGTCACTACTAAAGAATCTCATCATCACTAATTCTAAGCTCTATATATTTATACGATGGTTGTATTTTATGATTACAGATTCACAATATACAACAACAACAACAACAACAACAACCAATATTCAAGTTTTGATTTTTTTTCTCTATCTCTCGCGTTTGATGTACACATGTCGAATCATCAGAATGAATAATATTTTTTTTGTTTCGTTTAGTTTTATGCCACAGAGAAAGAATTGTGATCATTGTCATTGTTATTCATGAATGTTTTGTTCGGTTTTTTTATTCTTTTTATTATTATTTAGATGTGAATGATGTGTGTTTGTTAGTATCAAGCTGTTTATCTCCCTCTCTGTTTTGTTTATCTAAACCAAAAAAGAATCAAGAATCAAAATGATGATGATGACAATGATCCATATATGATAATGTGTGAATACACACACACACACAGACAAACAAACACAGAAAGAGAGAAAGAAAACAAAACAAATAGACAGATGAACTGAGATTTTTTTGTTTCATTTCAGACTTTTTCCAATGAAATTTTTTTTTTTACGGTTTTTAATAGCATTGATATCCATGTGTGTTTGATGTTTTTTTTTTTTGTTATTTTCGTTGCTGTTGAAATTGTCGATTCTATTATTTGATTCAATTCAATTTCGAGTTTGATTTTTTTGTGTGTGTGTGAAATTTTTTTTTTTTTTTTTTTTGGGCACCAAATTTGCCTTATGCATAATACATCAATTGTAATCATGATTGTCTAGTCTTTTTTGTTTTTGATTTGAAAAGCCACACGGTTTTTGTTTTGTTTTTTGTTTCAGTGTACATGTACTTCCGGATGTTGCATTGTGTGTGTGTGTGTGTGTGTGTGTGTGTAACATGGAAAAATTTTTTTTTTGTTCCTCCATTAGCCGCTTATTATATCTAATTAATTAATTATAATTAATTTTTTTTTCTTTCTCTCTTTAATCCCTCCCATTTCTCGTTTTTGGTCATATATTTATTTTGTGGTTGTTTTTTTTTTTTTTTTTGGTCTCTTCACATCATACATTCATATATTTATCACCACCACCACCACCACCATCATCATTATGATCACCATGATCATGATAATCATCAACCACTACCAATTAATTGTACATTTGTATACATTGTGTGTGTGTAGGTGTAGTTTGCCTTCATTAGCTAGGCGACATGTAGCCATTGCAAGATTAAAACATCCAGCAAATATGGGCAGAAATTCACATGAAGTACGTTTTTTCATATTGGTCGTAACACCAAGTAAAGAAGTAAGTTTTGTTATTTTTTTTTGTATTTTACATTTACAAATTGGTTTGTATTTTGTTGTATACCAACAAAAAACAGAACGATTGAAAAGAGATTCATTTCTTGTTGAAATATTTAGCAAGAGGCTTGGAAGTATAAGATTCAATAGTTAGCATTTACAATATGTGTTTGTATCATAATTGTATGGTTAACAAACTCATATATAAACAATAACACTATTGAACATACTAAAAAGATATTCTCAACAGTTATTTCATTTGGCTAAAAAAATATTTCTTTTCATCCATCGATTCATTTATTCCAAAAAAAAATCGATCAAGCACATTTTTTTTTTGCTCTGTGTTATTTGAATGGCCTCTTTGATTTGATTAATAATATCTCTTTCTGTCTCTCTCTCTCTTGCTTGCTTTCTATATTTCAGTCTTTGACATGTTTCATGGCTTATATAAAATTTCATTCATTTTTTTTTACCAATTCCGGATTGAATGTATTTAGTGTTGCCAAAAAAAAAAAATCATTATTAGAACGGTTTTTTTTCTTCTTTGGTTTCAATCCATATAAATTTTTATTATTTACTACAAATCGATATATATTTTGCAATTGATGTAGCCGCAAGCAAAATTTTTGTTTTTTTTTCTATTTCAAAATCAAATCAAATGGCCAAATATTAGGTGGTGGTAGTGGCCAAATGATATGACGTTATTATTTATTAATAATCCACTATATATGGATGTGTCCATTTATTTTTTATTTTCTGTTTGTCATCTTATTTCAAGTTGTTTTTTTTAATCAAGAAAATTTTCTCTTTTTTCCAAGTCAAAGGTGTACAATACACATGGCCGAAACAAATGTGTACAGCCCAAATTTCAGGGTGGGATACATGACAGTTGTACAACATTTAGATCAATTTTCTTTTCAAGGTTTTTTTTTCTCTCTTCAGAGATTGTTTCGGTCTATATAGATTCGTTTTTTTTTCAATAAAATAAAAATCTTTTTTCGTTCATTGATTGTTTGTTTGTACGGTTATTTTGGATGTCCTTAATTGCTTCTGGTTCCGAAAATTTGGTGATTGTAAAACATTCGATTGATTTGAAATAATCAATCAATGTATGTGTGTGTGTATGTGTGTGTGTGAAATAGAGGAAGACACGAACAATATAACCATAGAAAATGAAATGAAAAAAAAACATCATCATCATCATCATCATCGGCAACAACAACCGAATTAAACGAGATGAGAAAAAAAAATCCGAACCATCAATATAACCAATAGACAATGATAATAATAATGATTGCCACGAATTGGATCTTTGTGCATCTGATTTTTTTTGTTGTTGTTGTTGTCTCATTGCAATGAACAACAACAACAAACGACAAACAAACAAACAAACAACATTAAGAAACACAACATGCAGCCTTTACTGACTTTTTTTTTCTTTTTGATTCTCTCTCTCTCTCTCTCTCTCTCTCTCTCTCTCTCTCTCTCTCTCTCTCTCTCTCTCTCTCTCTCTCTCTCTTTTTTCCATCATCAACATCCACAACAAACGAGAGACAGAGACATAGAGAGTGAAGAAAATGTTGAAATTTTGATCTAATTTTGTTTGTTGTTATTTGGGTGTAGAAATTTTTTTTTCGTTACTTTTGGTTCACTTGAATTTTTTTTTATGTGAATTGTCCTAGTTTTTTTTTTTCTTCGAGTAAAAAAACGGATCGATGTCGTTTGTCGTTTCATTCGTTCATTCATTCATTCATTCATTCGTTCGTTTGTTCGTTCGTTTGAATTTGTATCGAAACAAAACAAAGAATGGAAAAAAAACAAAGAATGAACAGCGGACCGAAGTAAAACTCTATAGAAGAACGATGATGATGGAACCAAAGAAGAAAAAAAAAATCGAAAATATGTACAAAAGAAAATGTTTTTTGTTGTCGTTGTCGTCGTTGTTGTTGTTGTTGTTGTTGTTGTTACAATCCATAATGTTTCCAGAACTATCGAAAAAACTGTAAACGAAAGATAGTAGACAAAAGCAAACCAACGCGAATCTATCGATTGTCATCATCATCATCATCGTTTGATATGGAGAGAGGGGATGGTAAGAATTAACGATGATATTTCAACTTATTCACGTATTATATGAAAGTCCCCATTATTTCTAGTGTCTATGTCACGATCGGATACAGAATTTTCTTCTTCGATTTTTTTTCCTCTTCTCTTCACATTGAGCCAAACAAAAACAAAACCACCCACCCACCCCCCACCAACAAAAAAATAATGTTGTCTGATGATGATGATGATGAAAACATTATGACAAGCAAAAAATAATCAAACACATGAAACAAACTGTTTTCCACTGTTGTTGTTATGTGTAGGCCATCTAAAAAAAACAAAAAGTGTTTGAGCCCAAATCATCAATCTATAATCATGATCATCATTCATAAAGTTGATTTATATATCTAAATTAGCTTGAAATTTTTTTTTCAACGCATTATAATCATCATTTTATTATATTATTTTCTATGTTTGTTTTGATCATATAACAATATAACAATTTAATCTAATTAATCACATTCAACTTTTACACATGATGTGAATAAATAATTGATAAACTTTTAAAGAATCGATTCACACATACACACAAACACAAGAATTGATTCCAATTGGAATTTCATTTCATTTCATTCCATTCCAATTTTTTTTTTCAATAAAATTTTCATTATAAAAAGCAAAAAAAAAATCCACATCTTTGCATACAACACTTTTTTCTTCACCATTGTCTTGTTTTCAGTGTTTATTTGTTTTTATTTATTGAAAATGATGATGATGATGATGATTGTCATATCAATCCAACCATCAAACAATAATGATAAGTGTTTGTGGTTTTTTTTGTGTGTGTGTGTGTGTGTGTGTGTGCTTGGTATTCTGTACATTCTGTAAATAAAACTGATGGAATTTTTTTTTTCATTTATTTTGATCATCGAATTTTTTTTTTTTTTTTTTTTGAAAACGATGAAATTGTGTGTGTGTGTGAAAAAAGACAGTGAAATTGAAAATTCATTCCCAAGTCAATTTTTCGTTTTCATTATGTTTGTGTGTGTGTGTGTGTGAGTGTGAGAGTGTGGGCGTATGATAAATTGTTTTTTAAAATAAAAAATTCACGTTCCTTTAATATTTGTTTTTCGTTTTTTTTCTCATCATTTTTTTGTTGTTCTTCTTTTTCCAATTTTAAAAACGTGTGTTTGTCGTCACCATTTTCATCATCATTTTTTATATGATGATAAAAATACGAAATATGGAACCAAACCAACTAACTGATCATTATTTTATTGTTATTATATAGAAAGGAACAAAAAATGCATTGGAAACTGGACGTACATTTGCCACAATATTTGCTGATATTGATTTTCGACAAAAATTATTAGATGTACATGGTGAAGCTGAATTCAAAGGAATTTTGCTCAAACATGCTCAAGATTTAGCTTCTGAACAAAGCAATCCAACACGTCGTATGGGTAATCATGAACCGGAAGCTGAATTTGAGGTAAATGTGTGGATTTATTTTTTTTTTTTTATTGAAAATTTACTGTAATCTATTCTCTCTTTTTTTTGTTCCTAAAATAACCATCTAAATACACACATCTACACACAGGAACCAAGATGCCATTTTGCACAAGGATTATATGATGATCTAAGACGACGTACATCACATTATCTAAGTGATTATGTTGATGGTAAGTGTTATATTTGATTTACGATATTTGCCCATATTTTGATTGTTCATATTCAATTCGTTTACAACCCATTAACATTCCAATTGTGGTGGCCACAAATCCAAAACAAAAAAAAAAAAAAATCATTTTGATTATTTCCTATTGTCATTTGTTATATTATTCTGATATATCGAGATTCATCATTCATTTATTTTTTTTTTGGTATTAATTCCTTTCATTATGGGTGTTTGCTTACTTGTTTTTCTTTTTATTATTTGGCCTCTAAATATGAATTATAAGCTTAGCTTCAAACGATATTTATCGATATATATAGTAACAACAAAATAAGAAAATTGGTAATAATTTGATTTATTTATGTTTGTTCATGTGTTCAATTATATATAGTATTTTACCATTTGAAACTATTAAATCGACCAAATAATGATGATGATGATTATTATGATTGTAATGACATATATAAAAAGAAGAGAACCAATACCAATAACGAAACAAAACGAAACAAAAAAAATCAGCTAAAGGCCATAAATATATGAATGTTTATTTCGATTTGATTATTTTGTTTTCTTTTCTTTTCTTTTGGTTCGGCTGGGTGTCTGGTTTTCTGGCATGAAAGTTTTGATTTTTTTTTATTCGTATTCAGTATCAAATATCCAAATTCCATCATATTGTTGTTGTTGTGGCATCATTAAAAGATTATTTTGGAATGAAAACGAAAAAGAAAAACATTTACAAAATATTAACCATATATATATGATTTAATGTTTTTTTATCTCATTTTTTTCCATTTACAACAACAACAACAACAAAAAAAAATTTTAGGTTTGGTCGGAAGAAAAACCATACAGAAAACAATATCAACCATTTTCTTCCTTTATTTTGCCTGTATATTACCGACAATAGCCTTCGGTGTCCTTAATAATAATAACACGGCGGGAAAAATTGGTATGTTGATGATGATGAAAAAAAAATTCTTGAATCTTACTTACTCAATTTATGAAATCTTATTTTCGTTTCGTTTCGTTTCGTTTCGTTTCATTTCATTTCAATTTTTTTTTTGCTGTTGTTGATTCGTATATGCGCGTGTGTGTGTGTGTGTGTATTGCCCATCATGGATCATCATTATTATTGCCATCAACATCTGAAATTTATTCAAATGAATTTTATATCATGTCCTTGTTGTTACTTTTTGGCTCATAATAATAATAATAATAATATTGCTGCCGTGCTATGCTGCTGTCCATGTTTCAAAAAATAAAATGAAAAAAAACCAAACTGGGAACCAAACAACAACAACAACAACGAAAAAAAAATCACTAACTAGGTGGTAAGTTTGTTACAATTTTTTTTTGTTGCACCATTATAATAATAATTTTATTGATGTTCTTGTGTGATAACAATGATAATGGTATGCCATTATTATTTTTTTTCTGATTCTGAAAATGAAAATGATAACTGAATTATGGTGGTAAAGCCAGCATTTATTCATTCATTCATCAAAATAAATTAAATTTGCTATTAATTTTTCTTTCTTTTTCTTTATTTCGTTGTTTGTCATATAAATTTCAATGATGAGATTTTTTTTATTTTCATATTTTTTTTCATTTATAATCAGTAGTTGAATTCATTTTTCATCGTAGATGCATTAGAATTTCAGAATTCACACACACACACACACACAGACACACGTAGATAATGGTCCTCTTCTCATGTATCATGGATCATTTAGTATTATATATTTTTTTTCTTTTCGATGCTTGATAACCAAAAACCAAAGATCTAGGCCAAAAAATATTATTTGTACGCCCTCATTTTATTCGATCTAGTTGAATTCAAAATCGATAATCATCATCCGATATATATATATATAATATATTGATCGAAATGATGTGAAAACAAAAAAAAAAAATTATTCTCAAATTATTATTCCTGTATGTTTTTTGTTTTTTCTATCTCTACCCATTTGTTTTTTCTATCGCTTTTGTTTTGTTTTATTTCATCATGATGATGATCATGATCATCATCATCATTATTGATCCAACGATAACGAATAAGAAATTATTTTTTTTTTTCTCTTGCTATTGCTATTACAATGCTTTGACTTATTTTACATTTCTTCGAATTTTGTTTGTTACGGATGTGATCAATATTGAACACACACACACACACACACACACACATAATTCATTTGAAACAAATCATTCATTCACAACACGTTCACACAATAGTGAATGATAAGGAATAAAATTTCAGTGTTTCTCAAACATTTTTTGTGAAGAATTGTTAGCAGTAAAATTGAGAATGGCTGATCTTTTTATTCTTTATTTCAACTTTGAAAAAATTTTTTTTTCTTTGTTTTCACATCATATTCTTGTGTCATGATAAATTGATGTCAAATCAAGCCATAATATTAACGATAAAAAAAAGTTAATGAATTTGATCCAGTCAATATAACCGGATTTCAAGTCATTTTAATGATTTTCCGTTTTTTATTAATGAATCATATATATAGAGATAATGATTATCAGCCATTCATTAATCATGATGAATGCGTGATATGTGAATAATTTTTTTTTGTCTTTTTGTTTCACAATTTTTTTTTTTTTGCTCTCGCATATAATCAGATATTCGAAAAGCGATCATTGGACAAACAATTGGTGGATTGTCATTTGCATTTCTTGGTGGTCAACCATTGGTGATCATAATGACAACGGCGCCTATTTGTCTATATATAAAAGGTATTTATTTCACTGACCAAAATCATCATATGATTGACAATTTTTTTTTTGTTTCACCCTAGTAATCTATAACATCTGTGAAGATTTTCAATTGGATTTTCATGCAATGTATGCATGTGTTGGATTATGGAATACATTTTTTCTTGTTCTTTATGCTGTTTTTGATCTAAGCAAATTAATGAAATGGTGTACAAGATCAACAGAGGAAATATTTTCATTATTTATTAGTATTGCCTTTGCTGTCGATGCTGGTCGTGATGTAATCAAAAGTAAGGTTTTAATTTGTCAGAAAAAAATGATGAATCATGTCCATATTATTATCATCATTATCATCATTTGTTTTATTTCACAATAGATTTTCAAACACATTATTATAGTCCATTATGTTTAAATCAATTGAATCGTACTAGTGATCGGCAACATTTATTGCAACATTTTCGTCAACAGGCTCAAGTATTGGCACAATCAAATTTACCATTGATTGTTGAATCAATATTGCCATCATCATTTTCAAATACAACTATTGCTACTACAACAGCCGCTACTACAGCTATTATAAATAGTGATTTATTGTCAACATCAACATTAAATTATGAAAATAATAGCAATCTGAATTTAAATAATAATAATCCAAATAATAATTGGACAGATCCAATTTATCAAACGGCATTCTTTTTGGGTCATTCAAATTATTCATTATTTTCAACCACTAATAGTAATAGTAATAATAATCATCATCATCATCATCAATCGTACAATCAAAGTGTTCATACAAATTATTCATCATCAGATATAATACATTTATCTGCTGCCAATGTATCAACATTAGCTACAACACTTGCCTCATTGATTTGGTCTCCAGAAGCAAATCGTATATTACAGAATTTAACAACAGCAGCATTGAAATTAATATTCACTGATCTACATATGTCTGAAGATGGTATTTGTCGTCGTGAGACCAGTTTGCTTTTTCTATTGCTCATGCTTGGTACTGTTTGGATGGCTGTGTCATTGTTTAATTTTAATAAAACGTGTGTGTTTTTTTTCTGTTTTGTTTTTCAATCACGATAATTTTCCATTTTCTTTCCATTTTTGTTTGTTTCTATGTTTTCTCATTGATCAAACATCATCAGTCCTTATCTTCAAGCTAGTAAAAGAGAACTTTTAGCCGATTATGCATTACCATGTTCAGTTATTATTCTAAGTTTTATCGGATCATTTGTGTTTCGTGATATACCAGGTATGTATAGCAGGTATCACATTTGTTTATCATCATGCAATCAATATTGTTGTTGTTTTTTCCATTTCCATTTTGTTATTTTTATAGTTGAACATTTTAGATATGATGAAGAGCTACATTTAAAACGTGCACGATTAGAAGATCTTCCTTGGACGGCATTCGGTGCCTGTATGGGTTTAGGTTTTTCATTATCATTGTTATTCTTTATGGATCAAAACATTTCCGCTGCTATGGTTAATAATCCATGTAACAAGTAAGTTAAACAACATATTTATTATCATGATGATGATGATTGAAAATCGTTTTTTTTCTATTTCTTTTTTCTTTTTCTTCAATAAATGAAAAACATTCATCATAAGATTGAAAAAAGGCTGCGCTTATCATCTGGATCTATTTGTTGTCGGTATATTGAATGGTTTTCTATCATTGTATGCATTTCCATGGATGCATGGTGTATTACCACATTCACCATTACATGTACGAAGTTTAGCCGATGTTGAAGAACGTGTCGATCAGGGTCATGTCTATGAAATGTAAATGATGATTTATAAAATGAAAATTTTTCATCCAAAAAAATCTTGAATAATGATTTTTATATTAATTTTTTTTTCATTACCAATATAGAATTGTTAAAGTTCGTGAAACACGTTTAACTGGAATCGTATCACACATATTGATTGGTTTATCAGTATTTTTAATACCTTATCCAATGGCTTATATACCAACTGCCGTGCTTGATGGCCTTTTTCTTTATATGGCAATAACTTCGCTCAATGGCAATCAAATGTTTGAACGTATTACGCTTTTATTCATGGAACAGGTATTTTGTTTGTTTGTTTGATTTGATTCAAATTCACAACAATTTCACTAATCAATAAACATATTTTCAACATTCATTTATAAAAGGCTGCCTATCCACCAAATCATTATATACGAAGATGTCCACAAAGAAAAATTCATCTATTTACATTATGTCAAATGGTACAATTGGGTTTAATGTGTTTTTTTGGTTTCTCACCATGGCCATATATAAAAATGGTTTTTCCAGTTATCGTCATTCTTTTGTTACCATTCAGGTATGACAAAAATTGTTTGATTGAATTAATTTTAATTTCTGTCATCATTTTTTTTTCTTCATCAAATTAGACACAAAATAGTTCCATTTGTGATTGACAATAAATATCTAGAAGCACTTGATGGTGAAAATCAATGAATAAAATAGATAGATAGATCTGTCGATTTATAAGAAATTATATTCCGTATACGATTCTCTGTTCTTGTTTCCGTTTATATTTCATCTATAATAATCAATAATCAAACAACAACAACAACAACAACAACAACAAAAAAAAACATTGTAAATGAGAAAAAAAAAGAAAAAACACTTGTACTGCTCATCTTATTATTGAATTTTTGTTTTTGTTTTCGTTTTGTTTTTGATTTTCATCATTTCAACTAATTAAATACATTACAAATAATATGAACAAGAATCTAATCAGAATGGGAAAAAAAATTCTGTTACCATCATCATCATCATCATCATCATCATCATAAGCATCATACAAATTACATTATTGTATTTTGATTACACATACATACACAAACAATGTTCATGTCAAATATTATTATTATTCGCTGTTATTGGTTAACTGCTTAGAATATTTGTGTTTCATTTTTTTTATTCTAGTCCCCATAAAAACAACATGAACTAAATGTTGCATAATTCTTTAAATATTTACTCTCTCTCTCTCTCTATTTCGTTGTTTCTTTGATCGATTAATCGATCAATTGTTGTTTTGTTGTTGTTGTTGTTGTTGTTTATATACAAAGACAAAAAAAAACACAAATCAATGATGCCTTGATTGCGTTTCTTCAAATCTTTCAACACTCGTCTTCTTATCTTTTTTTTTGACCTACTACATACGTGTTTGTACATATAAAAAACAAAATAATCAAGACAAGTATATTTATTGTATCCTAACAACATTTTCACCCACACACACCACACACATACAAACATATTCTCAAATGTTCAGTAAATTTTTAATATATGACAAAAAATAGTGATATAACCGTAATTATTATCTTTTTATTGCGAAAAATAAAAAAAAAAAATCATACACACACACACACACACACAGTGATAGTATTTTATTATTGTCATTTCACATCATATAGTTTCAAGAGATCAAATATATATAGTAAATTCTTTATGTTATTCAAAAAAAACAGCAGCAGCAGCAGCAGAATTTTCTTGTTTTTTTTTCAATTTCAAAAAAATATATCTATCCACCATATATGAAACAAAAATAATATAAATTCTTTATTCTTTTAGCAGAAAAAACAACAATGATAATCAATTTAGTCGCCCATCACCACTACCAACAACAACAACACGAAAACAGAAAATCAGAAAAATTCAGAATTTAAAAAATGAAAACAATTAATTAGTCTTTCAGACGTTGATGAAATTATTCATCATCATTACTATTATTATTATTATTATTATTATTATCATTATTGCAACAACGACAATTTATTTATAAAACAAATGAAATGGAAGAAAAGAAAAGAAAAAAAAAAATTTTATTTGTAAACTAATAAACATGTCATTATTATTAATCAAATTATATCAGAGTTATTGATATTGATTTTGGAAATTTTTTTTAGTCAAATTGTGAATGAATAAAACAAAAAAAAAAAATGCATGCATTATATTGTATATTGAATCAGTGTTTTTCGAATAACATATTTATGCTGCCATCTATTATCATGAATTATGAATTGAATAATGTTATGAACAGACAGAAAAAAAATTTATTTATTTTCAACGATGTGTTCTATTCGATTTTTAGCAATCCGTTATCCATTATCAATCGATTGTCATTAATCGATTTTACAATTTCTCTCTCTCTCTCTCTCTCTCTTTCTATTGTTTGTTATATATGGAATGAAATTGGGTGAAGCAACAACAACAACAACAACAACAAAAAAAACAGCTCATCTTGCATTTATTATATTTCGATATTTCATTCATCATCATTATAAAACTCTCTCTCTCTCATTCTCAATAACTGATTTTTTTTTCTCAAGAATCGCTATTGGAAAAAAAAGTTGATCCGATTTTACGAATGAACCACAAAAAAAATAATGATAATAATAAAATAAAATAAAAAAAAAAATAGTCGGCAAATAAAACCTTTGCAAACGAAAGCAAAAAAAAAAAAAAAAAAAAATCATCATCATCATCATATGTATATTTTTTTTCTCCTCTGATTCCATGTGTTCAATGTTCCATACACGCATATGTCTTGTATTTGTTGTTGTTGTTGTTGTTGTTGTTGCCGTTGTTGCTACTGCTGCTGCTGCTGCTGCTGCTGCTGTTTGCATTATATTTATTGTCATTGACTATGATGAAGATGATGATGATGATGATTCTGTGGTCGTGTTTGTATGCGAGAATGTCAAACAAACAAATAAATAGAAAGAGAGAGAAAAAAAAATGATATTCCAACATTTGGTAAAACACACACACACACAAACCCGAACCCGAATTCGAACAACGAATGTAAACGAAATCGATTCCTTTTTTTCATTTCAATTTCCAACATCATCATCATCATCAAGATCATTGTTGAGATTAATGGTTGATCAGCAAATGGTAAATAATGTGCAGATATATATATACACTGGAACACACACATTCACAAATCGATCAAATGGCAACAACAAGAAGAAGAAAAAAAAATTCAATTTTTCATTTGAAATTTTTTTTTATTATTTTTCTTCTTCATTTTTTTTTGAATTTTCATTTCATCATGATCATCATTTACGGAAGCGAACCAAAAAAAAAAATTTATTTCACATGTATTCATATCGTTTTGATAATCGATCAAATCAAATGGTCGGTATTTTCATTTCTACTTCTTTTCATTGGAATGAATTTGAATGAAAATTTTTTTTTTTCAATTTAAATTTTTTCTGATTTTATTTTTTTGTTTGTTTGTTTGTCTTCACTACTTACTTGAAAATTATTTGCTGTGGTTTTTCTTTTGCCATATTGCCATTAATGCAAACAAAAAAGAAAATTCATTTTCCAAATTATTGAATATATGGAATAATATCGTTTGTAATCATTATTCAGACATACACACAAGAGAATTGTGAATTTTTTTTTCATTCTGCAAAAGATTAAGAAATTGGAAAAGATTTCATTACTTGAAACCAGAATCCAGAATCCAGAAAAAAAAGAAGAAATAGAAATGATTAGTATTCATAAACTCAAAAACACACACACACACACAGTTGGCTAAATCAACAGAAACAAAAAAAAAGAAAAAATTGAATTCTGATTACATCGTCGTTCTGTTAATCGTAGTTGATCAATTTTTTTTTCAATTATTCTGAAAAGAAAATCGGAATTTTCATTCTATTTTTATTCTGAATTAAATCAACACATAGTGAAATACGATATGCAATATGTTTCGATTACAGAAATTTTAAATTACCTAAAAACGAATTGATTCTCTTCAATACCAACACATACACACACACACACACAAAAACATTCATTTTGATTGGATTCGATTGTCAACGACGACAACAACAACAACAAAAAGACAATTCCAATCAACTGTTGGAATATCACCAATTGCTGATGACGATGATAATGATTACGCCAGCAAAGAATGGCCACGATTCTATGCATATAAAATATTATATGTTCAATGGCTAAAACAACGGGCGGCATCATCGATGATTGAAAACAAAAAAAAAAAACTCGATTCAGGACAATCTCGTTTTTCTTTCCACAGATTTTGATTGCAACAAAAAAAAAAAAAAAAATTATTGAACAACCAGCCATTGAGCCATTCAATTTTATTCATAACGATGTTTGTGTGTGTGTGTGTGTGTGTGTGTGTGAGTGTTTTTTTTTCATCTTCAATCGATGGCATCGATATTCCTATGTCCAGCCAATAAATTAGTTTTTTGCTTTCACGAAATTTTCAAAATCACCAACCCAATAACAACAACAACAACAACAACAGTAAGAATCGAATGAATATGGAAAGAAAGAGATTTTCCATTTCTATCAATGTATTTATCTGTCGATATTCAATATGATGATGATGATGATGATTTGAAAACAGAAAAAAAAATTATTATTATTATTACCATTGGAACGTAAATCCAGACGATAAAGTCTAAATATAGCTTCACAAAGAATTGAATCTCATTTTTTTTTCTCTTGCTCGTTTATATCTAGACTAAAGAACTTTTTCTTCATTCAAAAAAGATCGAGTCAGTCAAGCATTAAATTTTGACCGAGAAATAAATAAAACAACAAAAAAACAAAAACATAAATTAGAATCAATGAAATACCGTGGTGGACAAACAATTTCAATTTCAAGAAGCAGTATTTTACGCACACACACACATCCAATTCATGAATTCTTTTCCAATTATGCAAAAAAAAAAATGGATAAATTCTGTCCATTTTTTTGGTCACAATAGAAAATATTTATCGATATTTGATAAAGAATTTAGTGTCCATGATTTACGATTGATAATCAGCAATGTTTTCAGCGTTTTTTACTTTTTGTGAATTTTAATTTAGTTAGAAGTGAAACAAAAAATTAATTGACCACATAAAACTGAAACCCTTGTTAGTGTGATATGTGATTTTTTTTTTCGCAGTCACACTATGTGATTCGTGACCATATATATCAGAAATAATATCTAGTCAATCATTTCTTTTTTTTCCAATAGACAATCGGCTATTTATTTTAGTCACGTAGTAGTCAATGTGGTAAATTAATAATAATAAAAAAGAAAAGAGAAAAGAGAATTTTGCAAAAAGTGAAACAAGTGAAAAAAAAACAAATTCCACGACAATGATTTGTGTTTCTGAAAATTTGATTTTAAAATTTCTTAAAAGTTTAAATAAACATATAGAAAACGGAAATAAATTTTTTTTTCTTTCCTTCTCTGATTGAAAATGATCATCATCATCATCATTATTATTTTGACAGCAATTTTGTTGGAAATAGAACGAAAATTATTACCATTAAAAGTTTTGAAATTGTTTCTTTTTTTTCATCTTCTTCTTCTTCAATCATTCATTCACATTCATTTTGATGTTTGTTTGTTGGCTAATTTTGTTGATGATGATTGTGTGCTTGAATCAACAACAACAACAACAACAACAATCATCAATTCGATGGATGAAACCCAGTAAAAAAAAAGCAATGGATTTCATTGGAAAAAAAAGAAACCATAACCATACATATATATATCTTTCATGAAGTGAAAGAGAAACAAAACAAAACAAAAACAAAAAAATCATATCAAAAACAATTAAGACAATGTGTCATT